CCATTCAGGGGTGCTGTTGACAGGAGATGGGGCCCAGCTCAGCGGAAGAGACAGGAGGTTAGGAATTTAGAAGGGCTGGATCCTATTCCTCCTTCCGCTGCTGCTCTGCTGTCTAATCCTGGGCGAGTACATCCCCTCTGGGCATTCGGTTCCCCTCCCTCCCTGACACATCTATTTAAACTGCAAATTCACAGGGGTAGTGACCCTCTTGGTAGTGACGAAGCAGGAACAACACCCTGCACTCATTTCTATTCATGAATATTCCCACTAAGTAATGAAACAAAAACCATGAGAGAAACTGAAGAGCCGATGGTGCATTATTAGTTTTGAGGTATTTGGATAGAAAGGTAAAAGGCCAAATCTCCCAAGTGGTAGCAGACCAGAGGACATCCATGTTCTTTTCCTGCGTATCTGGGCAATCTAATTAGAGGCAATTGAGTTTTTAACTACATAAAAGTACCTCAAGAATACCATCACTACAGGCTAAGTCTCCGGGGAGCCTGGAGGAAGGGAGCAAAAAAAACATTCTAAAACTGGAAGGAACAGCAAAGGAACAGGGCATGTGGCCTGAAACATGCTGAAGAGAGAAGGCATCTGAGCCAGTCTAAGACATTCCTATTTTTTAAAAACATATAAATAGCTGGGCCTTGGACTCAAAGGTTTACACTTTCCCAGTTCCAAATGAATTAAAGAAGAGTTAAGCACATCCCCATTTCTATACATTTTTAACCACAATGGTAAAGACCAGATCTAAACCACCAAAAGGCTCCTGCAGTCCTGTAAACACAAGAGGCATAAAAAGAAAACTAAATCACTGCAATGGGATTCCTACTGCATTTTCAAACTGCCATTTGTGTGCCATGCATACGAGCACCTCTCTTACACATGAAAACCAGCTTCACATTAAAGCCACCCCCCAACCATAAATGGTCACAATATTCACCAAGAAACAGAACAGTTCAATTGCCAGACCTTCCATTTGTTTGGCACATACTGGTAAGCCCTAGGAATGTCATTCATTTCTGACAACCTTTGCTCTTTTTGACAGCTACTTAAAATCTGAAGTGCAAGCATTGACAGGAAACTGTTTTTAGCACTACAGCAACACTTAAGATCAATAATTTCCTTTACACTGATTTGAGATTAGATTTAATAAAACTGTTTTAAATAATCAAATATGCTGAAAGCCTATTTCTTAATACAAGTGTGATCAGCAGAAAACTCTGGAGCACCTTCTCCCCTCATTTACAGAGGTAAACCAAATTGATTGATTAGGAAGGTACACTTGATGCACAATAGATATAATTTACTGCAATAAAATGTGAAAGTTAACAAGCAGACTGCTAAGTAAAAACAGCTTCCTCCTGAAAGGAGGGGAAAAAAACCCCAAAACACAACACAAAACAATTTAACAAAAGGAAAAGTCAAGGAGACGCTGCCCCCATGAGCTAATGGTCTATCTCATGCTATAGGGGATGCTCTTGCTTAGCTTACAAGTGAAAGACACTCCCTCCTCTCCCTGCAAACACAGGCACTCCACAGCACTAATATGACACCTTAAATAAGCCAACTTCCTTGAGCATTGCCCAGCAGACTAGAACGGGCATGCCTCTTAATTCAGAAACCATGAAACATGTCCAATTATCAGTCAGGCTGAAGAAATCTCCGACCAAGACCATCCCAGGAAAAACAGTCCTGTTCAAGCTGAAAAAAACCCTGTGGATTGCCACAACTGGCATATTTTTATAGCCTTTGTGTAAACACAAGCTCTGGATTAGCCAGCATCTCAGCTAGCTCTATCTGGATTCCCTTCTTTTGAAAGAGAATTAAGGAAAACACCCACCAGTGGCCAAACTATTAGGATAAAACAAAAGCACAGGGGAAGAAAGTACATAATAGTTTGTTCATTCAATGTGTGCTGCTGAAACTCGGTCAGTGAACACAAAAGACTTTTCACAGAAACTATACTTAATTTGCAGCACTGTTGAGCCAATCAGAGCATAAATTAGAACTGAATTTTTTAAGAAATTCTCAGTACTCCCCTAGAGCTGCCCCCACCAATACAAGTGGTGTGAGCCCCACGGCTTAGAGAGGAACAAAGCTAAAGCACCTATGAAGAGGGTTGCCCTTCAAGGGCAGCACAACAAAAGCTCTACCTATTTCAGTTGTACAGTTATGCAAACAAATGGTCTGGGCATCTCACAGCTTTAAGAAAAACATCCAACCTGGTGTCCAGGTGGGAATTCACCTTACTCTGTCACTAGAACACACTGTCACGGCTCCAGCTGTACCAAATCATGAACGAGCTGTGGCACTTTCCACAAAACCAACTGTTCTGAGCTGAACATCTTGCATTTGACTACAGCAACTTTCCAAGGGACATCCCAGTCCTGATCTGAAAATATCAAGAATTTCATCGCATTCCAGAGCCAATTTTAACAGTCAGGCCAATTAACCAGTGGAACATTGTGAACTTTAGGTCTTATTTGTTCCTTCAGTTTCTATTTAGATCTTATTTGTTTAACTAAGGTTACTGGTTCTTGCTACATTTACTGCTGCACTGTTCAGATTTGGCACGTTGTGTTGAGGAGGTACATACTGTAAATTGAGTCATGTCTTAACCTTTCTCAAACTACAGGCAGAAGGCAATACAAAGCACATCCTTCTGTCTTTGAATGGACCTTTTTGGATCAGCTCCACTCTGCTTTCTGGTATTTGCATTCAAAATGCAGTTGGCAAAACTCTTCAGGTCATGGGTCTTCCAAGTAAGGCATCCAGAAGGAAAAGCCCTTTCCAATTTTTTGCCATACTACTCATATGCAAGGTCCTGGTCCCTGGATGTGTTCAAGGAAAGGCTGGATGTGGCACTTAGTGTCATGGTCTAGCTGAAGTGGTGGTGTTAGGTCACAGGCTGGACTTGATGGTGTAAAAGGTCTTTTCCAGACTTGGTGATTCTATGATTCTGTCCCTCCACACACACATGCTGTGGTTTACTACCCTTGCTAAACTTCCCAATCTTCTTCACAGAGCCTGTTATTTAGTCATCTATTTATAATTTTGCATTCAGCCATATTAAAGCAGATTTCATTCAAATGAGGCCACCTTGTCAGAGTGGCCTTGTGAACTGCCAGCTTGCATGTGGATTCACAGAAATTCAACATCTGCTTCCAAACACTGAACTGTGTCCTAGCAGAACACCCACAGAAACATTCCCATGCTGTGGTAAACAACAACTACTTTAGAAATTACAAGGTAGCCAGTTAAACCATTTTTTGTGCAGAATCTCAATATTGTTACGATTGTGTAACATAATTTCTATAAGATTCTAAAAATAAATGTAATATAATACCTCAGCTAAGCTCCCTATAAAGAATATGGCAACATTAATCTTTCTCAATAAAACCTATAATTTTATCAGTGTAAAATCTCTTCTGCTTGATGTAATTAATTTTCCATAAATAGTAGTAATCAACTTCAAATATTCCTATCCTTAACTTTCCTGTTAACTGTACTCCTAATTTTTTTAAATTGTTATTTTTTAATCTAAGCCTAAGGTCATTCAGGGTAAGGCTTTTTTTTGTGTGTGGCACTGAATAAATTAAATTAGTCATCTAGTCACACTTTCTTAACACTGATAAAGTAACAATCAGTTATCTGAAGTATCCCCTGGTGTTCCACACGTTAAGATTTAAATGTCATGATGCTAGAAATCTCCTTATCCAAGTTGTTCACCATTCCTGGATGAAGCTTAGGTAGGGCTGCAAATTTGAAGGATCCACTACCACACACTGCCTTTAATAGCCATTTAAAATGCATGAGAAAGGACTTCCATTGTTCTCATCATGTAGAATAAGCTTATCTTCTTCATTTTCCCAGAAAGGCTAACAGCTTTAAGAAATTCTGACAACATAACAACAAGAAAACACATAAGCATTCAACAAAGATATATATTTTTAAACAGAATATAAAATATTTTCTGTCTACTCCCTTTTCTGCACTAACATAAAACATCTCATGAAGCATATCGATCTCCCCTAGACTCTTAGATTTTAAAAGAAGATACAGTTCATACTACAGGAAAATAAGAAAACCATCTGCAGACCTTTGCAAAAGCTGACACTACTTCTGGAAAAAAATGCTGGAAATGCTTCTACATTCTGAATGCTTTGGGGGTTAATAAACACAGCACAGATAACCCTGAAAGATTACATTGATTAACTGATGCGACACTAGTTTGAGGGAATGGTTTTTGCTTTGCTGACTTGTTGGTTTGTTGAGGAGGGTGTAGAGTATGTTGGTTATTTTCAAGATATCATTTACCTTGATCGGTTCTTAAATATAAAAGGCTAAAACAGTACAGAGATTTAAAACTAAATAGGAAACCAGTTTGGTGCAAAGATCAGGAACTCATACACCCACCTCTAAAACCCCCTCATAAAACTTTACATTTCCCCACAGAGGCTGATGTGGACCTCTCCATGTTGTGATAAAGAATGGGAATGCTGACAGATCTTCAGCTGTCACTGCAACAGTAACACGTTTGAAAAAAATACTTGTTGCTTCCTACATTCCAATAACAATTACAAGAGCATCCTTAACCGCTCAGCATTGTTTCCTAAATTGCCCGTTTCATGCTCACAGATTATTCCAGTGCCTAAAGTAAATCTAAAAAGAGTGCAATCTTTTCTTGAACTTCTGAAGTTTCAACTTCCAGAATTGTTACACAAATGAGACACAAAAATAATTCAGAGTACAGCACAACTTTGCAGGGAAAAAGGTACAGCTTGTTGGGTTTTTTTTACAACTACACAACGAAAATGTTTCATATATTCCAACTAGCAAAATTATTAAATTCTTAGATTCATTGCTAATTACTTATATAATTAGAAGATAACAGGCATATAATATGCAACTCAGGTTTAAATAACCTCTAAACTTCATATGAGGAAAACTTCAGTCTTCTGAAAAGCATTTAAAAAACCCCAATAAGCAAGTCTTACCATTTTGATGCCAGTGGAAAACGTGACTGGTTTGACAGGTTTGGGTTTTTCCACTTGCATTTCTAGCTGAGTAGATCTGTCCTTGTGCTGAGCTAAAAGCAGTGAAGCAGGAAGATTGGAGCTCTCCTGTAAAAAGGAAGAACAAATGTAAATACTAAAACAAAACATTGTGTGCCAAAAAGTCTTCAAAACTGCAAGCTGTGTCTGAAAGGCCATCAATAGTACAGCAGTGTAATGCTAAGTATCCTCTCTACAGACACTTACTGAAAACAATCATTTCCCATAATAAGGAAAAGCTGCAGCAACCCCATAAATCAGAGTAACTTGCAAAAAATCACTTTTATAGAATCCACATTAGAGACAATATAACAGGCTCCTTATCCCAATGGTCAATGCAACTATATTTAATAAAATTTAAAATTAAAAAAAAATTAAAATTTGAACTTAATCAGAGAAGGAATAATACCAAGTAGTATAACTTGGATCAGATGTTTATCTAAGACACATTCTTTCTACCAATGAACTCAGACCAGTTTGAAATTGCTTCCCATTAGATTTCACCTGAGGCCGTTTGGAAAAGATCCTTGCTCTGCTTTGCACAATGGCACTATTGTAAGTGCAACCAACAGCATATTTATTTTCCCCTTCACCAACTTATTCTTAGGGAAGCCAGCCAATACTTTTTTTTTTTAATATATAAAAATGTAATAAAATGAATAGTTAAGCAAATGAACTACTTAAACTCTCTGAACAGAACAATTCTACAACAGAATTATTATTAACAGAAGTATATGTACTGCATTCTTGAGAGAGTCAGAAAATGACTGGCCAAGTAATTTTCTAATAAACTAATGTGACTATCCACATGCACATCAAAATCCTCAAGACTACCTAGCCAAACAACTGCAAAGTTGGCAGCAGGGAAGAAGTTCAGACAGATTCTTCTCAGACAGCTCCAGCACATTTTATTCCTTAAGACCCTCAAACGTCACATATCCTTCTGTTTCACATAACCAAGTAAATACTGAACTAGGAACCATATTTGTTACTCATAAAATCAAACCAACTGGAATAAAAAAATAAATAAATCGTAGTCCAGTTTATGTCTAACAGGTCAGGATAAGAAGTTGGAAGTTTTTCTGTCTTGCTGTTCATGGTATCCTAAAGAAATCTTCTGAGGTGATCAAGAACAGCCCTGTTATACACTGACTCTTTACATCACTCTCCAGTCCTCTTTTCCTCTCTATTTTTTGTTACACTCACTTCATCTTATGACAAGATTGCAAATGCTAAAAACAAAGAACACCTCATACTATGAGGTCTGGTCCAGAATCACAAATACAACCAAGGCACGAGGTCCTCCTCACATTTCTGTGATTAACCAGAAGACAGAAGAGGTTAAAAGCCTAAATTGCCATAAAGACATTTAATTTCTGTACAACTGGGAGAAAATTTGGACCACGAATGCAACAGTTCATACCCTGCATCTTCCAAGTGTTGTACGTGTCTGTAACCACTGTGGAGCAGAGTTTAAGGATGTGAGATGCTTTTAATCACCAGATTTAATATGCTGGGGAAGAAGGGAAGAGGGTGAAGCATTGTCTGGTTTGTTTTGCCCTCTCATATTCCTTAAACATTCACTGCATTTCTTATACAATAACTAAAGGAAGCCAATTTTTGTCCCAGCTTCTCAAGAGTTCACACAATGAGCAGTAACCAGATTACACAACTGTGGGAAACCCACACAGTGCCAGCAAGCCACCACCTCTGTGATTGTTTGTCCTTTCTAATATGCACATAGCCCTTCTGTTAACTATTAACACCCACGAAAGGTCTAATCCACTAAACATTTATCCTTAGGAGCAGTTTTCCACATAGGAAAACAAACTAACAGTATGCATGAAGCTGGTTATATGGCAACAATTTCTGATTGTCTCCAAAGCCCCTGGGATTCTGGTAAATAGGGATAATTGATGTCTTTGAGGCATCTTGCCCTTTGCTTGATTCCAGGCTATTCTACAGCCAGGGAAAACCTGCCCCTTTGCCATGTCTGCAATGCCATTTTGCTCATGCCTGCACAGTACAGGCACTCAAAGAGGTTAAGTGCAAGTCCCACAACACAGAAGACATCTAAGAGCAGATCTATAATCCTCTGTAGACATGTAAGAGAATTTACACAGTAAATAAAGGAAGTGCTTTCATATTTTACTGAGCCCTGATTATCTAAGTCTAGAAGGATTAAAAAACAAACCAAAACACATACACAGCTCCGCCAACAATATGTAAAATGCATTTGAGACAAGTCTAAATTACAAGAGGGTGTTGTGCTTTCAAGCAAGAGGTTTTATTGTAACAGAGGTGACTTACAATGAAGGTAATTAAAATCTGCCTAATTTAGTGCTGGGAGGCAAAACAGGCAACAGCTTAGGCCAAGCACCTGATAGCTCTTCTAGCAGCCTGCAGAGCCTCAGCTGCCTGCAATGCCTTTGTCACCTTTCCAGCAAGGGGCACTGGCCTTCCCCTCTCAGATCCCTGCAGCCCTGGCCCCAGGGCCAGTCCCTTCTGCATGAGCCATTGCCTCCTCAGGCTGAGCAGGAGCCAAGCCTGCTGCACCACATTTTAAATACCAAACATTTCTGCCCTTGTTTCCCTGCCTCTGAACTAGCTCTTTGAAGTTGGGACAGTATTCTCATACACCTCTGTAAACAAAGGAGACCTTTACTATTATAATACCATAAATAATATATACAGGAAACTGTGAATCTCCTCAGTCATTAGAATTTAAGCAAAGGTGAAATTCTTGTCTTGGAAAAGGAAAGATCCAGCATCTCTACCTGTGCCACAAAAAAAAAAAAAAAGAAAAAAAAAGTCTTACATTTTTTCTTGCTGCCCAGTATGGGGGTAGGGGGCAAGAAATCTTGAAAAAAGTACCAAAACCCAGGGCTGTAGGTTTCCAACATCATGTTATGCACCCGAAAGAGACACTTCAAAACCAAGAAGTGAAATGTCAGCTTCCCACTTTACACTCAGAGTCCTACAGAGTCAGTAGTTTTGCCACTGGTATCACTGTAGCCAGAACTCAATCCTCTTTGTTTTAGCACAGTACCAGCAACCACAGATATAAGTTCATTAATTTTTTTTAAGTACTTTTTTATACTACTGCTGCTTCTGCTCAGATATTGCTGCATTTATCAGTTAAGTTTTAGTTATTTCATTTTCAGATTTGCAGCACAGTTTTAGAGAGATTTCAAGAGAACTTAAGAAATGTTTATTTCTTTAACAACTGCTGGTCGTCCAGAAACTTTGTAAGTCATTATACAAACACTTCAGTGCTGCTTTTAGAAACCTTCAGCATTACAAAACAAGTTTTAGCTCAAATTTAAGTTCAGAGTGCCCCTTCATAATAAACAGCCAAACAACTTTGAATTGCCCAGTTTCCTTCCTCTGCCTTTTAATAAATCACCTTTCTGTTGTTTTTAAAATATTAAAGTATGTCTTAATAGCAATACATATGCAATCACAGTTAAAACCACCTATTTTGGTCATGTTTTAAGGATTATTTATAACCATTCTTTCCTCAAGCAATCTGGTGAGATAGTTTTCCAGTTAAAAAAAAAAACTGCTTTGTAAAAAAAACAACAGTAAAATGAGGAAGAAAAAACCCAAACAAAGGGAAAAGCCTAGTCTCTAGTAAATTAAGAGTGTGTTATAGAACAGAACTGAAGTGAGAAACCAGTCAAAATCCCTATTCTGAACCATGAAATTCAAGCTTGTAGTGGAGCTTTTATTACTTGATCCACTACTAAATTAGGAATAGTTTGTGTGGATTGTAAGCACTTTTGTGTGAAAAGAGATTGCTGGACACAAAGTTACAGACTTGAGGGATTTTCAAAGAACTTTTCTGCTTACTGTCCCCTGTTCTGTCCCCTTGCAGAGGCAGCCGAGCTCATGAAGCAGCTCCTGATCACCACCTTCCTTCAACACATCAGACTGTCAGCCACTACTGGGGACTGCTTAACAAGCCCACAGTTTTAAGAGTTCACGTTATGGCTGAACCAACCCAGCAGCTCCTCTCTATCCCCCTTCACAAACTGCAGGATCAGCTGTGCACCAGAGCAGACAAGTGCATCAGCAGAAGGCCAAACAAGCAGACAGCTACATGGCCTCAGACATGACAGAACCTCACCCAACACACACCAGGTTAGAGGTGGAGTAATCACCATATCAGCTGGGCTAATGTAAGCTATCCTTGATGACAGTCAAAGCCTGTGGCTTTCATTGTGTCAATGAATTAAATCTAGACTTTCATACTAGCTCTTCTTTAAACTAGTAAGTCAACTGGCAGAGTGGCTGGAATCACTAAAGCAATTTCTGAAATATACCTCCCCACGTCAATTAGCAACAAGAGGTTTCAAGGGAAGCTCACTAGGAACAGAAAATGTACCCCCCCCAAAAAAAAAAAATCAAAACAGGCAGAACAGGAAAATAGCCTTCTTCTAAATACAAAAAAAAAAAAAAAACCAACAAAAAACCACCACCCTTTGGCATTTATCTTTGCTAGCATCTTATCCAGGATTTATTTTGTCCTGAAACAGCCAAGAATGCTTTCCTAAAATGAATTCCTAACCAGCACTGGTCATTCTAAACAATTAGTCCAGTTAAGTCTGTGAATCCCAGCAGCACCTTCCTTCAGCCCTCAGTCTGGCAAAACCAGAGTTGTTTGTAAAACCGATATGAATAACAGGTGAGAGAACAGTTACAGAAAACCAACAAGACAGGGAAACAAAAAGGGCCACCATTAACTGTGTCCATGTACTTGCTGTTTGCTCTGCTACTGAGCATTCCAGGCCTCTGGTTTTCTTACTCACCAGATCATCCAAAAGTGCTTGCTTATTCTTCCTTTTCATCATCTGCTGCATTTGTTCTTCCTTCTGCATGAGCAGCCTCCTTTGTTCACTTTCCTGTCGCTCTACCTCTAGAGCTTCCTCCAGCTCCTCCTGCTCCCGTGTCTGAAAAGAAAATTAGAAATCAACTCATGGCAATCTTTCTTCTTGAGTAGACAGAGCTCACACACAGCTCTGCTGCCTACCAAAGGCCCTGGGACAGACCAAGCAATGGGAAAGCAGCCAAATTCTACCTTTTCAGGTAGATTTTTCAGGTCACTGTGGACCATTCTTTCTTATTGTTCAAGGCAAAGTGAGATTCATTTTGTTTTCCTTCCTTGCTGCTCTCTGCAGTAGGAAGTAACCCTCTGGATGCTGGCTTTTTAAGAGTTAGAGAATGACAATTGCTTTTCCTTACACCTTCACCCTAATATGAACACATCCTTTGCTCCCACACATCCTACTTCTCAAGTGAGGCAAGTGGGTGACCAAAAATACAATCTCACAGTTGTTCCTGACTGCCCCATAATTGGCTGCATCTTGTGCACAAAGTATCATGTATGCTTCTTAGCAGTGGTGTAGAAGAAAACCAAGAAATTACCAATTTGTAAATATTAGCAGAGAAGCTTATAAGCATAAACATATTTAAGTAGAACTGTAAATATTCCTCATTTTCTGGGAATTATTTCCATGTAACTTGGATTGAAGTCATGTGCCAAAAGAGGAGAAAAAAAAGAAATAATTAGTACATAGAAACTACTTTTTGTTTCAGGATGTATTTCTCAAGAAGTCTTTCTTAATCTGCAAACTATTAAGTCATCTGTATTTGAAAATCATAGAGGAATAAAAAAAAAGAGGAGGGCTTAAAGACAGGGAAGGAAAAGGATTAAGTAACTTTATACAGAAGGAAGGAATCAAAAGAATGTTACTTTGGTGTTAAGGAGGTATAGGACAGTAACAAAGAAAACAAACTGCAGATCTTCCCCACCAAAAATACTAAAGCGAAGGGAGATTGAGTAAAAAGACATTTTTTTAAAACATAAATGGATTATTAATCAATTAAAGCAGTTGCAGCAAAACATTATTGCAGCCAAGAGTTTAATAAAATCAGTTCTTGTGTCAAAAAGACCAAAAATTATTTAATAAAACATAGTGATCTGATACAAGCTAGAATATGCTGAAAAACATCCTTTTACCAGGCAGATCAAGACAATGGGTCCTAGTTAGTCCTGGATGCAAGAACTGACAGATCTCATCACTTGCCACAGAGCCAAGAGAAGCTGCTTTCATTTTGTTCCTAGCAGGGACATTGGTAAAGAGCTGCTAACCAACCAGTAACTACCTGAAACTGGATTCTCTTTACATTTCATGACAGGAAACAGACAAATCCCCACATTGTTAATTCAGCTAATTTCTGAGAATGAAGTGATCTACTTAGTTCAGTCAGAACTGAAGAGCTCAGTGTCTTTAAGACAGTCCAAGCTTCTTCCACATTTATGTCTAAAGGCTGCCTGGAATTTGCACTGAAACAGAAGTAAACTTCTAGGGAAGTGCTAACAGACCCAGACTGAAGAACCAGCCCAGAAAAATTATGTGCAGAAACAAGTAAAGTGATAAGACAAATCTAAACCAGATCAGACTATAGGGAAAAGGAAGAATTACCACAGGTCAGATCAGATTTTTCTGAAAGACAGACCAAAACAAAAAAAAACAAAACAGAAGAAAGATGCACTCAATAGGCAGTGAGGATTGTGTCAAGCTTAAAGGTAACCTAGACACAGTCCCAACATCTGAGGAAATCAAGATGATCATGGTGAAGGCCTGGAGTAAAGCCAAGAGGGCAAATGGTTAAGAAGTAAATAGTAAGTGCCATATTTAGCCACCTTCAAAAGGGTAATCAAGAAAATTTAAACACATTCACATCATGAAGTCTGGACAAACTATTTCAGGACTGAGAAAAGCAGCAAGCAAAAATGAACAACTAGTGACCAAGTAGGAGGTAACAATTTACCCTCTGACTAGAGAATAGCAGATATTTAAAGAAGGCACATTTAGGAAAACTGTAGCCCACTCAGCATGCAAGGCTTTTTATACATAAACAGGATAGAAATTAATTTATAATTACAAGAACCCTTTCTCAAGAACTCTTCACTTTTTTTATCCAAACGTATCTACTTCAACTTTTTCTCTTCACTGTCCCACATCCAATCTACACATCTAACAGATGGGTTAGTACATGAACAGTAAGGTCATTAGGAACAGGCTATAAAAATAAAGAATATGGCTTATATTAACAGAAGAAACAGCAGTTATCAAAATCCTGAGGTAACTGTAACAACTTTTTGATTTAAAAGAATAAGATACTCATGAGGACAAAAGTAGCAGAAGATGAAAATAACTTACATGGTCACAGATTTGGATACATTAATTCATCAGTTAGAAGCCAAAAAGGGGAAAATATGATGCACTACTTGATCACTACTGTTTTTCAACCTCCCATATAATATGGCTACAAGCGAAGGCCCATCTTAGGATCAGGTATGTCAATGTATTTCCAGCAGATATGCTGGAATTCCAGCAGTATTGGCCTCATTCAATTCTGGTTCCTTCTGCTTGCCAAGCACAAATTTAAACTGGAGCAGGCAATGGGCAACAAAAACACCAAGAAGAGCAGAGAACATCCATATTCATCAAAAGCAAACTATTAGAGTGGACAGAAAAATTTAAAGTCAGCCCAAGAACGAAGAGACAGTGATCAGCGATAAGAAGTTTAGGCAAGAAACTAAGCCATCTTTTACCATTTAAGGAGTAAAGCCATTCCAAAACTTGCCAAAAAAAGCTAGAGAAAAGCACCCTTTCAGCTTTTGGGACTGAGGTAAATTTACAGGCAAGATCACATGGTTTTTGTAACAGCAACTGTGTCCAGTCTATTATTATGTTTCAAATCTTGAAAAAGAAACACTGAATGTTTTAAATGTTGACAAAGAAATAAAACCAGCAATGTTTCCAGATCTCCAGTAAGTCTGGATTCATACAGGCTTGCCCAGCTTCCACCAGACAGCCTCCAGCACAGCAGGATCATACTGCACAGAGAAGAGGAGGCCCTAGGGGGTTCAGGGGGTACAGAGGATGATTACGCTGCCTGACGTGATCACACAGCTCCTGCACAGGCTGCCTCCCTGTCACGTAGGTGAACAGAAGGTGGGCTGTAGCCAAAGCACACTGGTCTTCTAGTGGTGACCCTGGAGGTTGTAGCTAAATAATACATGCAGCCAAGGACCTGGCAGGTCTCCTCAAGCTCTGAAGCACTGGATATTGGATGGTGTCAGAGACAGGATAACAGATCAGAGATGGACCCCTAGGGAAATTTCCTTGCCTTTAAAAGGAAAAGGTTCAAACAAACATTTTTCAGATTCCAATCTCCTCCTGTGAAATCCTAGGGCTAAAGAAATCACTGGGAGTTTTGCCACAGACTTCAGGGGAATGAGGATTTCACCCCTACTGATTTGAAAGCAAGTCCTTAGTGCAACTGGAATCCAAACACAAAACCTTGTTATGTCACACTCTGGGCAGACATTTTTCTTCAAGAACTGATAATAATGTGTATTTTTATACTGGAAAAATATTTAACAGATTAAACTTTTCTTACAGTAAGAAATCCTTGCAAGTTTGTTTATAAAGAAAAAAATTATATCTGAGCCATATTTCAATGAATGAATCTTGAAAGAACCATGTGTTTTGCATACAGGTCATGTATACAATATTCCTGATGTTACTATTATCAGCTCTTAAACAAAAGTTTGAATGTTTGTTTCAACATCTTTCGTTTTAAATTTTGCATAAACCAGACCTGTGCTTTCTTTCTTTCAATTTTACAGCTCTCTCTTGGGAGCTTCGTAATGTCTGCATCTGGATTCCTTTTTTTTCCTTCAGATGAGAAAGTCCTGGTATAGGAATGAATTTGGTCTCTCCTGGATAGTGTCCAGCGACACTGCCAGCACACATGCAGTGGTGATGCATTAGATGCAGACTTTACTGCCTGCCTTGCTTTGCAAACCCTTCCCAAAATAACATATAATTACATTTCAACTATAAATTCCACCTCTTTACACAGCACTAAATGTCTGTATCACAGAACATTAACATATTAGAGTTTTTCAACACAAAGTGAAATCTACACAGTGCCTTCAGCTTTCACTTGCTTTCAGACCTTACAGAAAGTATTCCACTTTGAAAATCCTCTAATTCCCTAATTAACAAAAATTGTAGGAAAGAGGAGAAGTTAACTAACCAGTTTTAACTTATTTTTCTGAATGACTTCTTTGTTATCCTTCTGGTACAGCTCCATTTTTCTTTTCGTGTTCTCCAAATCCACATTGTTGGTCAAGTTAAATACTGCATAAATGTTAAAAAGAGAGAAAGCAAAAGTATTAGGTTGGCAAGCATGACTGTGATCAAAGAAATACTGCTCTTATGTTCTGTATCCTTTCTAGTACCAGATCAAAACTTCACAACAGAATTTATTTATATATGCCCTGTAAAGCAAGACACAACCTGCTAAATCATTGCAAACTTCAACAGAAGCCAGCAGAGTTCCTTTAGGTTTATACATCTCTAGGAGCTGAAAATTTGCATCCTATTTTGTGATACTGCAAATGATTACTCATGAATATTCATAATATTACTTGAAAAACTTTAACCTTTTCAAAGAGCAGTTACAGCCAAGAACAGTGATTCTTGTAAAATGAAATTACACACATATATATTAAGACAAGGTTAGAAATTAAGTTGTTCCATCTCATAACATCATCTAATGCACAAAGACTACAGAAACTGTTTACATTCTCAGATACACAAAGAAAATTCCATTACTTGGTAACTGAAAAGGCACCAATAAACAATTACCTTCATTATAAGGAATCTGCACATGTATCCAGATTCATAGGTTAAATTACATTCTATTGTTGTCTCTTGATAGTGACAGACTGTATCTCACATAGTTATGAACAAGTAGGACCAGCCAACAAGCTCCACAGTTTAGCACAACATTCCCAATGATCCACACATGGCACAGAATATACTTCAAGAAATTGAACAGTTTCTATCATCAACAACTTGAAAGATGTAGATGTTTTGGATTATTAGTAATTTGATACAAATGCCTGAGCCTTTCACCTCTAGGTCATGACTTCAATTGTGGGTCAAGTGAATTCCAGCTGAAAGCTATGATCACTGGGGAAGTCTCTTGGTCATCACCATCTAGCAGGGATGCTGGGCTCAAGCCCATGGCCTTAATGCTACTGAAGACTGCCAGTGGAGAGCAAAGTCTCCAACAGCTTTGTCACATGGCTGCAGTAAATTTACAAGAGCAGCAGAGAAATTTGCGCTGATAAATCCTTTGCAAGAAAACAATGGCACAGCAACTCTGCTAAGTCACAGAATCATAGAATCATCAAGGCTGGAAAAGACCTTCAAGATCATCAAGTCCAACTATCCACCCTACACATAAGAAAGAGGAGGGTCTAGTGGAAATGCCAGCACAAAACTTGAAAGGTTTGGTTCAGTTCTCTCCTAGGTTCTCAAGCGGTTGGGCAAAATGAACCCTGGCCACATGCACCACTGCCAAGACATTTGTATGAGGCTGCTAGAGAGAATAGGAAGGAAGCATGAAGTCTGTGCAGCTACTCATCTGAACAGCACACATCTCAGTTTGGTAAAGATAATACCCCTTCTTCATCTTCTCCACAGACAACATGGCAGAAATGAGATTTTAAAGAGGTTTCTGGGTAATAAACATGGACAGCCTAGAAAGGCAAACCAGTACTAAGCAGCAAAGGAAATGGCAAGAAATCAAAGAAGGAAGCAAATGGGGGCAGAGGAGAAAACAGGGAAGGTCCAAAATGCTAGAGTTGAGGGACACAGCTCAGTTCTACAAACCCAGCTGCACAGCAGCTCACTACTGCCAAAAAGGGGCAGTCTTGCCCTTAGGTCCTTCTTCCCAGGCACAGGTCTTACCCTTTCCCCTGCTCTGGTGCCAAGACTCCTTGGATGCTTTGAAGTGCCAACAGAAACTCTCCTGTGACCTGAACTGGCTCCACAAAGGGGTCAGACAGGGCCAGAGAATAAAAATGTACCAATGAGAACAGGAATACTGCCTTTCCAGGAGTACTGAACCACCACATCATCTTACTCTTATCAGAAGTATTCAGCCTTTCCTTGACCTACAGCAGAAAGAGCTAAAAAATTCCTAACCTTAAATAAACAAACAAAATGTCACTTTTTTTTTTCCTTTTCCAAATGATGAGCAATATCAATACATTTTAATTCAGCCTGGCTCTTAAATCAGCTGAACTCTTTCCACCCTGACCCATCATCCTTGCTTCAGAAGTGATCTGAGATGCAGGCTGATTTTGTGGTTTAAAAATTTGTTTGGGAAGGAAAATCTGGATTGAACTTCCAACTTTGCTGCTGTTCCAGGGCAGACTGCTGGACCTCTATACTGGAGGTCTTCCACCTGTGGGAACCAGGAGCAGGGGAACAAAGCTGCCTTTCTCCTCTGCAGAGTCTGCTGTGCTTCTTTACTATAGCTCTACATGCAACACTTATCTCTGTAGTCTTGATCTCACCTGAAGTAGTACTTCTGGGCACTGCTAAACCAAACCAAGCCCTTCAGAGTTCAGCTCTTGGTTTTTGAAAGCAAATTACCCATTTCAAATACATTCAGGGTTTTTTTTCCCCAAAAAGCATAGGAACATTTTCTCACTCCATATTGCAACATACACACACTTTCTGGTCATAGCAGCATTTCTTTAATAAACCCCATTATTTTGGTCTATATTTTTAATATTACAATGAAGATTTGACCTCCAGCTTCCCAGCCTACAGTTCCTTGGTGACAAGCAGCTTAATATTTGAATATTACAGCAGAGAAGAATTGTCATGTGAAAATGCTGGCATACAGTCAGACCAAGGCTCTGCAATGACAGCAGCTGCATGGGAATGTCAGCACTTCCTACAGCTTAAATCCACACACCAGCTCTCTGAACTCTTCAGTGACGACACAAGAAAGAAATAGCATATGAGACACACTGTGCTAGCAGGATACCCAGATGCCACTTTCAGGTGCAAGAAGACCAAAACAAGATGTCAAATGCTTTAAGGCTCCTGAACATCTTAGGTATTTCTCTAAAAATAATGCAGCAATAAGCTTATGGTCAAGGTTTTGCAACTATTGCTGCTTGAAACGTTCAGGGTTGTTTTTTCTCCCTTCTCAGTTATCTTTAATAGGTTCAACTAGTCTCAACCTAGGTTTGTAAAACAAAAAACAATATTGAAACATCATACTAGGGACAGCAGGCAAATGTAAGCATATGCAGATGCTTGCTTTTAAACTACTTACAAAAGCAGGCTTATTTTTCTACATGACATGAAGTAACACTGCCATGCAAGAAAGATGTTCCTGCATTAATGTTTAGAAATCTTCAACATCAACCTACACAGCCACTTGAAATACCCACTGCTCTGCTTGCAGCAAGGTGAAAGATGGTTTATTTCACCTTCTGTTTTTCCTGCTGTGCTGGAACCAAATCACAGGTAAAACCTTCTCAATGGTCAGATCTGCTTATACTATGCTGGTTCTGCTGTCGGTCTAGGTCTGTCCCTTCAGGATATGGTGGAACAGCAGCAATCAGAAACATTCATACTTCCAGCACTCTCAAAGACCAGAGCAGATTTTTCCCATGCAATATTAATTCACAGCCATTGAAGAAGAACCTTATCCTCAGTTCTCAGCATCTGCCCCTCAATATTAGAGCTGGCACATTTCAAGATGTAAAAGACTGAAGAGCAAAATTATGTTGCATTTGCCTTAAAAACTGGAGGTCCCTACACCAACACCAATGTCAACAGCTGTCCTTTAAGAAATGAAAATAATACATTCCTTCCTACAGTGAGTACCCTGGCAGCAAAGTAAACTGTGCTCTTTGACACTGCATGGTTACCAGCAGCCAACTCACCAGCCAAAACATCTTCCAACATATTTTCTAACGTATTTTTCATGAGCTTCAAACATATTTTCATCAATATTCAGAGAATATAAATTCTTGCCATTGTATCTTCACAACTACAGCTGACAAGTCCATTTTGTAAGGGGGACTAAGCCACAAAAATAATTAAGAGATTATTTCTCTCTCTTCTCCCTTGCCCCTTCCACAACTTACCTGGCATTTAAAAACCAACAAGTATCAAATCAAATAACAGTCACTAAAACTCACCATCTTACCTTTTATATAGCTAGGACTATGAAGTATTTTTTATGTGGTTTGCTTTGGGTTTTGCCAGAAATTTTAAATACCATTCTTCCAAATGTTGACTTTTTAAAAAGTACAACAAAACAAATTATAAAACTAGAAGAACCAGAAAGAGCTTAAAACAAAACAAAACCTAACTCATGTGAAACACCTACCATGAAAAAATATTAAGCTGAATATGACTGGCAAAGCAGATGGCTAATTTGAAAAGGTTTCAAAGAGAAGCCAGACTTATTTTTGTCCATGTTGAAATATAGCATAAGCCAATATAAGAGGCCTGAAGCCCTTCAGGGAAAAGAAACAGAAGCTGTTTTGTATGCAACAATTATTTATCTACTTATCCATCTCACATTGGTTGGTTTATAAAATGTCTTGCCTTGAGACATCTGTTAAGTATAACAGGAAGACTATTGTATTTTTTCTGAAACATTTCATTCTATTTAGGTAAAACTCCCTGCTTCTGAAATTCAGCCTCTACAGGGAGACTTTCGCTGCTTTTCAAAACAACAACATTTATTATGCAATTCTACAACAAATGGAAAAATATTTTCCTAGTTATGAAAGTAAACAGAAAATAAAGAAAAATTTGAATTACATGGCACAATCCTTTATCCAGAGACACATAAGTATGAATGACTGTCACTCCACTGGAGGACTTTAGGTCCAATAAAACCTCCCTCTTTTAGTCTGAGACAAGGCAAATTTTTTTGAGACTTCTCCTACTTCCCTAAGAGACAGTAAAGTTACCACATAAAAATATTTGCTATTCAAATAGTTGGAACATTCCCTTTCTGGCAAGATAGCAGATGATTACTCTGCTGACAGTGTTTGATCTGCATTGCTGGTAAAAGCCAGCCAAAAAAAATGTGAAATTAGTAAGTATTAGCTTGTTACAAAAAAATATTCCTCCCACCCTACTACAAGAACACCTTGATCATCATAAATAACCAGCCAGAGACCATGAAAGGCAGAAAAGCAACTGTTTTGGTCAGAGCGCTGTGAAGGGAGAAAACCACATCCTCAGTCTGTCCAGGGAGTTCAAAGCTACCGTGGCACCTTTTGTTGGTGCTTTCAGTTCCTGGGCCAACCTCTGCCCCTGTACTTTTCAGAGGGGAAGGAGGGCAGTGAGGGAGAGAACAGATGGAATAGATCTGAACC